CACATTTCTTGATCTGTCTTGTTAAGTGGCCTTTAAGACCTGCAAGAGTTCTTTTCATTCTCCCTGCATTATCCATACTGGCTAGTTGGTGAAGCCTTGTGGGACTTGTACTTGGGCTGCTCATAATACTGAACAAACTCTAATGGTAGCCTAGGGTAAATTCTGAACTCACTAGGCAATAATCCTACCTCTACTAGAGGTTAGCACTTAAAATTAATACACATTATATATATATACAATCATACACACTAATGATTTAAGTGATAAACCAGTGTCACTGGAAGTACCTTTAGGTTAGCTCTTCTATATCACCCCAGGATGGTAGAGACACTAATTAATCACTCAAAGGTGTAATGATCATAAGTAAATTATTATATATACAACTCAATTCGAGTTGGTAAAAATTACACCCAAAATAGGGTCTGGACCATTCATTAATGGTGTTAGGTTGTTCAATATAGTACAACTGACTATGGTAATAATGGGACTAGGATGAACGACAATAGTTCAACTAGTCAATGGTTAATATCCTACCCTGTTGTGGGTTGGCAATTAGTAAATATTATACTATGATCACTAGTGCAATATATATTAAATAATTCTCTATTTTGGAGAAATAATATACACAATTATTGATAATAGCCTCTTAATTAGCCTCTATGAAACTTCTAATATTATCAAGAAGTATTAAATATTATTAGTGACCTCGCGAAATAAAGTCCACAAAATTCGTAGATAATCTCTCGCGAAATGTAACACCACGAAATCCGTGAACAATATCGCGAAGACACAGTCACTAATTAGGCTGGCTTCTATATTAGCGCTGTCATTTCACGAAATAACACGCCACCAAATATCTGTGGGTGTGCATGAAACCGCTGACGAAGCTGAACTCGGCTGAGGGGGGCTACTGAGCTCCCTCAGGCTACGCTGCCGTCTTGACTGCTGGCTTTGTTTAAATAACACTGCACTAGTATATTTAATGAATCCACTGGTTAACTGGTTCATCCGGTACTAAGATGACCAAATGTGGGTTCAAAGGACCAAATATTCCGGTTCCGAAGGTCCAAATAATTCGGTTTCGAAGGACCAAATAATGTGGGAACCGACCTGTGAGATTTATATTTATTTAATTTATATGAATTTATATATACGTTAATTTATATACTTCGATAGCAATTTGTATAATGATAAGTGGACTGTATTTCTGCAATAATCTCTTAATCTCACAAATCGATCCTCTACACATTAGGGGGGGTTATTAAATTAATATATATGCAGCCAATCAAACTACAGAAATAGACTACATACTATTAAACATTGAAGAGGTTCCTTATCTTATAGTACAGCAGGTTAGTCCACCAGGTATAACTAGGGTGTAGACACCAAATTATCCTCTTTGAGGTAGCTTCCTCACCCAGTAACTGGTGCACAAAGTCTTCCATCCTCGTCTTGACCTTTAGTTTGAGGCGATTTCGCGATCTAACCGGGTCACCCTATATCCTGACATTAATGGCCATAAATGAATGATAAACGGGTTTCGGATAGACACTTAACTTGAATTTGTAGACAGCGTGTTGACAATGGTACACTTCTGGTTTCCATAACACTACGTCCAAGTAAAATTAACAGGAGCCGAATTTGCTCCTGTGTGAGCCTCTGGTCTCAATATACAATGGCTGTTTAACACTCCATACTATTGACGTTACTGGCCGACATTGTCCAGAATGATAGGAGCCGAATTTGCTCCACACGTCTCGGAGGTGACACAACAATGGCTGCCCCCTTCCTCCCTGACGCCTGGCCTACTTTGTCCACATGTCAGAAAGTGATAGAAGGGTCACATTTACTCTACTTTAATATTTATAATTAAGTTAATTTATATAAGATGTTTTTATGATGGTAAAGTCCAAAGACTAATGTATTTAAGAATAATTCCCAGCAGAATAGCTGGTGAATTATAATAGTATGTGGTGATGATATCCCGTTTTCTATAGACGGTAATTCCACTACAAGTTACGTTTTCTATGGGTAACTTGTTTATACAACACAGCTCTTATCTGTCTGTATGATATATTAAATGCTGTCGGATTTTCCGACAAAGGTTTTATCCTACCCACAGACTGCAAGTGTACTAGTTTTTCTAGTGTTAAAAGTGTAGTATTAAAATGTGAAAAGGCATCCTGTCTGCACCAACTGAGAAGAATTTGTTTTTAATTCTAATAATACCTTTTGGTATTTTATTTTTCCCATCCCACTTAGGATCAGCAGCTTAATTTTATGCTAATACTACTGCAATTACCTAAGGTTTAAGGTAAAAAATGGGGTTACCAACAAATTATATAGTAATGCACACTTTACAGTAAAGTACAAAAATTTAATGTTGCACTTTACTGATGTTTATACACAAACAAGTGATATAATGTAATGTAACAGTTTTTTTCGGTTAATTATAAGCAGTTGTCTTTAATTTGTTATAAAGCCAACTATTGTTGTGTAGGTAACTACCTAAAGGATTTATACCTTGCAATAAACAATAGTTACTTTTGTTTTTGTTTTTACTAGACTAGGGAATGTCAATCCACGTAGCCTCACCTACGTCCTTTTAGGTGAGGCTAAGCTAGGTTTTATACTTGGTTAAGTTAGGCTAGGCTTGTGTGAAGTATGGTACTCCACTATCTGGTCTGTATAAGGACCAATTGTGATTGTGGTGTATGATAGTCCAGTATCCGGTTCAAAGCCACCAAAAAATTTGGGGATTTCTTTAACTTTCTGACTCCTTAAAATAAGGAATTAACTAGCCACAAGGAAACTGTTGTTTTCTTCTTGTGGTAGTTGACTGTATTTATTTTGTGTTCCCTAATTGGCTCCGTTTTCCGAGTGATCCAGCAGAAATAGGGCTGCTTTCATTTACCTGTTGAATGAGAAAATCTACACTTACCCCTTGACAAAAAGTATTATGTATAAGGCAGCTAGCACTGATACGGTTACAAATTATTTCAGCCTATCCTTTTGATCTGGCATCTTGCCCCACATGAATTATTATAAACACTGGCAAGATTATGTAATGATATGAATTTATCTATTGCAAATGTATACTTTAACTTATCTTTAAGTAATTGCAAATTATCAAATATTTGTCAAAAATTTATTAACCTAGTTAATATGGTTTTAATTTGATGTAAAGTTTTCTACTTACTAAGGTGAGCTTGTAATCTCATAATGAAAACCGCACATGCAATGTAATGGGGTTAGTGGCACAAAAAGATATTGGATCCAATCTCTAATTATACACCACTAACCTCATTTTATTTTGGTAAGATGCAGGTACAGAGCTCTTATCTTATGGTACTAAGATTTTACCCCTCGTGTAGGGCCAGCAACTTGTAGTGTTGCTCACTACTGATGTTGGAATGGTGTTGCCTAGACTCCGACGGCTTCTGGCTGGGGGAATCCGGTGTTGATCACAATCCACTCACAGTTTATGGGAAGACACACACTTCTTTCAATAAAATAGAATGCCTTAATGTTAATACACATTTATGTGTAATTTTACACTACCAACTAGGGGATCACAGAAGATAAACGGCTATAACTAAGCTTGAACGACCATGGAGTGTCCCCATAAGAAGAGTAGCGTCTTGTTTATTTGTGTGTGAGGAGTGAGGCGTCACTGCTGTGGCATCGAGGTATCACACATACTCCTCCCTCACTGTTTCTTGGCAAGACACACCCTTATTTTACATTATTCAGAGTGTCTTACTTATTAGGCACATTGTATGTGCAGTTGACACCACAAAGGGAAATAAAACAGTTGTTGTTGATTTAGGGGCGACGACGATCGTGGGATCGGTTGCGCCCCGGCGTGCCCGTGATGGGTGAATCGCGAAGCCTGGAAGGGTGGAACGCCAAGCCAAACCGCGAAACGAGTGACGCCAATCACTAGAAACTAAGATGCCATACGGCAAATAAACGCACAGACGGGTAGATGATTGGGAAGCCCCAGGAGTCCCGCAGGGTGACAAGCACCGGCCCCGTCCCACACAGAGAACACCAGGTAGCAAAACCAAAACTCGGCCCCAACTAAAACGCAAAAATTCATCCACTGTCCTCCGGCAGAGCAAAAGCCGGCCGCACACCACGACTGAGAGCACACCAGGAGCCCACCAAGACCCGCCAACCCCCGGAACCTCTCGGCCAAGCCGGTCCCCGAACACCGTCACACCGCCGGGAGAACCAGCCAGAACACGCCAAAAATAAAATCTATCAACAATCCCGTGACCCAAGGCGATATTTGCGCCAGGCGTCGTACAATCGGACCGTTGAAAAAGGGATGCCAAACGGCAGTAGCAAAGCCAAAACGCGAAAACAAGACGTGAACAGGCGGCTCCCAGGCGGAGGAGGTGTCCAGACGTCCACTCGGCTTCAAGGTTGAACCAGGAGACCCAAATATAACAGCTTGAACTTCGTGGTGTGTCATGTTGTTGTGTTGATTTAGGGGCGACGACGATCGTGTGTGTGTCATGGAGGAGGAGGAGGAGCAATGTTTACTTACTGTCGCACAGCGTCTGAACACTGACTGCGATCCACCCGAAGGTGGGTATCGTTGCCCTGCATCTTTTAATGATCTGTTTATACAAACGTTCCTCAAACGTATTTGGTAAAACAGTTATTTATTGAGCATATGCAATTATTTTGGCATATTACAATGATATGCTTATAGCTGTTAGATGTAATTACATATCCTAATATGGATTCTGTTATGACCCCATGAAGCCTGGTGGAACATATACAAGTTTACCCAATGAGAGTTATTCTTCTTTCCTTACCTGAGATTAAGAGGTCAGAGGAAGAAAATATATAATAAACGTTAGTGAGTAATATAAGAATACGAGCAGAGGATGAGCATCTAATAAAAGTGACATGGAATGAGATGTCGATATTTTGGTGATGTGACGTGATGCTAGCATGACGTCATGACGTTACTTGAGTTACAGCAGTCGTCAGGGATGGTTGTACTTTGTTGATCTCCTGGAAGAAGGAAGAATAGAGTGCCCTGTGTTCGCGGTGATGTGGTGGATACTTGTTTTCAAGTGTGAGGAAGCTGTTGTAGTACACCATTTCTCTGTGATTTGAGTATATTAGAGACGACCTGGAAGTGAGTGTTTGGTCGCACCTGTGTGGAACTCTAATTGTGTGCTCCTTCAAGAGGAAGGAAGTAAGCAGGAATTAAACTTAAGGAAGTAAGTTTCTTTGTGAAGCCTGCCGGACGACTCTGTGTACTCGAGTCAGGACTGGAGGAAGCGTAGTGAATCAGTCCTAAAACGATTTTGTGGGCAACTTAAGTGAGTGCCAGAGAGTGAGCGCCCCCAAATTCATAGATTTCTGTGGTTTGTGTGGAAAGAAGTTAATGGAGGAACTTCAAGGCTGGAGAAGAAGTGTATGCTGAACTCTGAGGTAAAGCAGAGTGAGGAGTTGAACTTCAAGCAGTGTAGGAGAGCTACACATTTCTTTGTGGATCCAGTGGAGGAGTGTCACTGATGTTGGAGTAGGACTTCGTTGGGCAGCAGATTGGGAGAACTGCTGAAGTGCCTTTCCTGATTTTTGGAGGACCTAGATATATGCATTGGTGGTGAGCCTCTAGGAGCAGAACAGATGATCATGTGGACACATTAGTGACTGAGGGGAGTGTTTGAGTACTTATTGGCATGTAAGATGCAGTGTAAGGTGAGATATTGACATTATTGTTGTGCCAGGTATTTCAGCCTCAAACATTAAGGAGGGTAGTTGGTTGTGAGCCAAGAGTTGTGCAGCCGCCTGATATAGATAGTTGAAGCCAGGATATAATATTGGAGTACTACTGGGTTGTAGCAGGTTAGTGTTGTACAGTAATATTGTATATTATATATATTTTATTATGTACGTTTGAATGTATTAAATGTTTGTTAACAGATGGTCTTTGCTCTGGTCTTAGTGAGGTTTCCCAGAAAGCGAGAGAGAGAGAGGGTCGCGGCTGCGAATAGGGTGACAGTAGACATTACTTCACTGAAAGGGGATTTAGGAGATCATTCCAAACAGGGAGAGAGTGGGGAGTCACAGCGGCTTGAGTAGGGTGTGTACTCAAGACATCGAGGCCAGTTTTGGAGCCGCATAGGCGGTGAATAGCATCACCTGTAAATAGGTGATGCTAACCCCACTCCAAGATCAAGATGTGTACAGGGTGAACTCCTAGGTAAATTGTAAGCACTCCAGTATCCATTGCTGGTCGACTGACGGTAGCTGGAGTGTGGCTGCCGAGGTTGGCTGTGGTTCTATCAGGACGTGGCTGGGGACTCTGCATGTATGCAAGTAACAGTCTAGTGCAACAACCAGAGCTCCCTTTTGGGTTTAAATTCCCAGCCAACTCCACCTGGTAAGAATTCATTTATGGAGATTTTCTGGAATGGAGTCCATAAAATGGTCGAGATATGTTGACTCGACACTCTCTCTGTCTGGATAGAGCTTGGCTGGTTCTATAAATAGCTATGCCTGGCCCATATGCTTTCATAGACCATGTTAGACATGTTATGCTATAAAGTTGGTGGAAACTATTCCACAAGCAGCTAGCTATTGGTGGACTTGACCTTGTTTAGTTCAGGATTCAGAGCGTCATTTTGAATAAGTTGGTTAACTTTAGAGAAAATGAACGTTGTGTTGTCGCAAATAGAACTGGCTTCAAATGTTGAGTGTCCTTAGGAAGTGCAGTGAAGTAAATGAGAAAGAGCAGTGAAATAGGAATCCCCTGTGGAACAGCAATGTCAATTAGCAGAGTGTGAGAGTAAGTATCATTCGCAGAAACGTACTAGAGCCTGTCACTGAGGTAGGATTGTAAGTATTGAATGGAGTGACATCTGACTCCTTAATGATGTAGTTTGAGAAGAAGTTTACTCTGGTCAACGCGCGTAAGCCTTACGTCGGGCAACAGATAAACCTATGTGGTCCTCATTATTGTCAACAGTTGCAAGTATCACGTTAAACATATTAACTGTGTTTTAAAAACGCTAAATTCCCTGCAGGAGCTTAAAGTGTGGAGGAAGATGGGCGAGCAACTGGCGAGTGGGCACGAGGTGGAGGCCATGAGTGAGGAGTGGCTGGCCAAGATGGAAAAAGAACAGACGCTCTACAACCATGGCATGGTCCGCCTCCTACCTGGCGGCTGGCTCTATCCCGCCTCCTACTTAGAGTACGCTGACAGGATCTACAACTTCAAGGTATATAAGGAATGCTTCTCCTTGCTCTATGTAAGAGTCCATGAGTGCAAGCTAGTGGTTCTGCACGCTGTCTTGTAGGAAATGTTTAAATTATTTGCATTTTAAACTATGATTTAAGACTGTCATGTTGATACTAGCATATTGTCCCTATAAGCCTATAGCCCCACGTCTACTGCTAGATGGCCAGCAACTAGAAAGTTACCATAGCGCAGAATGCCTCGCTTTCAGTTCAGGTCGAGCGACGTGGTGGTGATGACGATGCCCAAGTCCGGGACGACGTGGATGCAGGAGATCCTGTGGACGATGCTACACAACCCTGACCTCAACCACCCACAGGCAGATGAACCCATTTATCACAGATCTCCAGAAATTGAGTAAGACATTGTCTTCATGTTCAACATTGTTCGTGTAACACACTAACTGTTACTCCCGCCACAGGAAGCAGTCCTGTTCAAAGTGATTGGAAGAGTTATGCTTCCCCTCGTAGCTACCTGGAAGTCTTAGCTTCATCATGTCTCGGCTACCTGGTAGTCTTAGCTTCATTATGTCTCAGCTACCTGGTAGTCTTAGCTTCATCATGTCTCAGCTACCTGGTAGTCTTAGCTTCATCATGTCTCAGCTACCTGGTAGTCTTAGCTTCATCAGGTCTCAGCTACCTGGTAGTCTTAGCTTCATCAGGTCGCAGCTACCTGGTAGTCTTGTCTGTAACAAGTCTCGGTTACCACAGGGGAGAGTATGAATATAGGGAGGCATATTTTTTAATTCATGGGCAGAAATATAGAAAATGTGCAATTCCCGTAATTTTTTTCAGAAATTTCCCCCCACCGTGGTGCCTCTTTGCCGTGGTGAGGGGCTCGCGTACACCTCCCTAGGACCGGTGTGGGTTGCCTTTGCCCCCTCTTTGGGTGGTGTACGTGCTGAAGGGCGCCATGTAGGGGCCTTGTGAGCCATCGACCACCCGGTGGAGGGGTCGCCCGAGAGGGCCCCCGAGTCCAGGCTGGGGCGATAGGGGGAATGGGGTCTCAGCACCAGTGTGGGAGAATGGACGATGTAGTAGGACTTCCCTGTTGAAAAGGGGGGAAGCACTGCTGGGGACGACGCACCCTACCTGCACTGGTCCGCGCTCGGACTCCGTGGCTGCCCTGGTAGGTGGTATCTCTTGGTTCCAGGTCCCAAACTTTTGAAATTGTTTGCTGCATGGGTGCCGACACTACTTCTCTTACCCAGGCTCATGGGGTGGACGACCACGCCCCTGAGTCGGACCGTCCTGGAAGACCGGGCTCTATAGCCCCCGCTACAAGGCCCGGTTTATGCCCAGACTGGACTCTTTCCCCTCTGCTCCCCTCCCTCCTCTGTGGTTGGGTCGAGCCCCAAGCCTGCTGTGATGACCGCCTCGTCCCCTTGCACGGCTCCATCTCTTATTGTGACTATTGCGCCTTATGACCCGTCTCTCTCTAAAGGTTCTCATCGCCGTCCCCGCCATCGCCGCTCTCGTATGCTCCCTTCCCATACTAATTCGTACCATGCTTTGTTTGGTCCTGCTACGAGGACTAAGTACTTCAACCTCCATCCTTTAGATTCAACTCCGCCTGACGATTTTTCCCTTCATAGGCATCTTGTAGATTCAGTAGATGCCTCTGTTACCTTTAACCCCACCCGTCTTGGTGCCCGTGTCATTGCTGCTCCTTCTCAGGATGCAGCCACCCGCTTGGCCGCCTTATCCTGCATTGGCGAGACCCTTGTTCGGGTCTCCAAGAACGCTCGGTTAAATGCCAGTGTTGGCACTGTTCTCCTCCTGCACCATGTTGCAACCGGTGTTAGGAATCTAAAAGACTGCCACGAGGATATCTTCTTCTTCTTGATAGTAGGTGCAGTTTGCATGAAGGGTTTGTCCTCCCGATGACTGCACCAGTACAGATGTTGGTAGAGGCGTTTATCTTGAAGATGATAAGAGTTTCAAAAGTGCTTGTTACGTTGTGGTGTAGACAGAGGAGCGGCGACTAAAACAGAGGTGTGTGTTAGAGGGAGACTCGCTGCACCGTAGGGCGGTGTGTTGTGTTTATGGCGTCAGCTGATCCTTGGTGTTGCGACGAGGCAGTGGTTTTCTGTGTTTAGCTGTTGGTGGCGCCAGGTATAAATGTGGCGCGGATCAGATGTGACCCAATTTGTTGGTCGATTGGAGATATTTAGCCAGTGCTTTGACTATTTGGTATTTTTCTTGTAACGAGTGGTCACCGCCTCCTAATATATGCTCGATGGTAAAGGGTATTTTAAGTGAGATAAGTACTTGTTTGAAATTTACTCTGGCACTATAATGTCGGAAGCAGTGAAGGAGATAGTGTTCGACTGTTCCAGGCACCTGACAGTGGATGCAGAGTTCGTTGCTGTCTGTTCTGTACTTAGAGCTGTGTGCTGCTAGTTTAGTGTGTCCCAGCCTTAATCTGGTCATCGCTATATCAATTTCTCTGCTTTTATATCTGACATGTTTCCAAGTTTCCCATTTCTTTTTAATGGACCCATAGTACAAGGGTGAGCATGACGTTTTCCATTTCGTCGCAAAATCTTGAGTGATGGTATTTTTGAAGGCTCCTTTATGTGAAACATGGGGAATTTGATGACGGGTAATGTGAGGTGTGCTGTGCATTGCTTTGGCTAGTTGATCTACTAGTTCATTATGGAGAATACCACAATGCGCTGGGACCCATTGGATAGAGGTATCATAACCGTTCAATCGATGTTCATGAAGAAGTTGAAGACATGGGTAAACAAACTCCTTGCACGTTTTTGAAGAGTACGTAATTGCTTGAATCGCACTCTTGGAGTCACTGCAGATTGTATATGTCCCGATTGGTAGTGTTGTGATTATTTGGAGAGCTTGATATAAGGCATATAATTCAGCTGTGAAAACAGATAGTTGGTTTGGTAACCGCCATCCCTGCTTGAGATGCTATTCCAGTATCCATACAGCGCTAGTGACCGAGGGTACGTTGTTCATGATGATGCGAGATCCATCTGTATAAATCGCTGTGGTATTTGGGTAGCAATTTTCCATTGTTGAGAGAAAGACTGAGGCTATGGCTGAGTTTGGTGCAGACTTTGGAATGTTGTCTTCGAGTTGTATTGCTGTATTAGTTGTATAAAGCCAGGGTGGAATAGGGGGAACAGTAAGTTGGGTTTCAGATTTTTGGAGTAGAGAGAGGTCTATATTGAGGTTATTTGTAGCCCGTGTGAGGAAAGGTTGAGTGATTGGTTGGGAAGCGGGGGTTATGTGGGTTAACTGTTGGGTTAATTTTTGATCTGTATGGGTGTGTCTGGTGAGCAGTTGTACAGAGTGACAGATAGTTGGCACACATTGTCTCGTCTGGTGGCTAGGCTTGTGAGGCCCGTTTCCCCGTAAAGTCCGAGGATAGGAGTGGAACGCATTGCGCCACATATAAGTCGCATGGCATTGTTTTGGATGACCTCTAGGCTCTGTAGGTTAGTAGGCGCAGCCGACGCATATGCTTGGCAACAATAGTCTAGTTGGCTGCGAATGTAGGTTGTATAGAAACGGAGCAGGATTTTATGGTGTGCTCCCCCGGTGGTGCCAGTGAGGGCTTTCAGTATGGCGAGTCGGGGTTGAGTCGTCTGTTTAAGGTGTTGAATGTGTGCTTTCCAGGTAAGTGAGGGCGAGTCTAAGTGCATGCCAAGGTATTTATGTTCTCGTACGTGTTGGATGGGAGTGTTGTGTATTGTGAGGGTGGGTAGATGAACAAGTCTTTTTTTTTTTTTTAGTGAAAATTTTATAATAGGTTTTGGTAGTACTAACTTGAAGGCCCCATTGTTGTGTCCAATCTATGAGGTGGTCAAGTGCTGTTTGCATTGTTGAGACTGTGTTAGGTAAGGCGTTGTCTGAATAATACAGTGTTAAGTCGTCGGAGTACGCCGAGAGGTGAACAGGATGGGTGTTAGGCAAATCTGCTAAGAATGCAGCAAAAAGGGTTGGGCTTAGTATGGAGCCTTGTGGGACACCCGTTTGTATTGGGATGTCATCGGAAAACTCGCCTTGTATATAGACTTTAGAGGTCCTGTTCGTAAGATAGGATTTTAACCATAAAAGTAATCTTCCCTGTACGCCTAAACGCGCAAGCTTTGCGAGGAGGCAAGTATGAGGAATGCTATCAAAAGCTCCTTTGAGGTCTAAGTAGAGAACAATACAAAATTTGCTGCTGCTGAGGGAGGTGCGAATTTCATGTTCAAGGGAAAGTATTTGATAGTGTGTGGAGCATTGCGGTCGAAATCCAGCTTGGAGTGACGGTATAATATTATTATATTCTAGGTACCATTGGAGGCGAGTATGTACTAGTCTTTCCATGACTTTACTGAGACATGATAGTAGGGAAATAGGTCTATATGACGCAGGTTGGGATGGGTCTTTTCCTGGTTTAAGGAACGGAAGAATAATACTGGTCTGCCATTGTGAGGGAATATTTCCCTGAGTCCAGCATAGGTTGTAATAGTTTAGGAGAGTACTATGTGCAGTTGATGGAAGATGTTTAATGAGTTCATATGGAATTCCATCCTCTCCAGGTGCCTTGCCAAGAGGTAGGCGGGTTAAGGCTAATTGTAGCTCGCTTAAGGTGTACATGTTGTCGATGCCGGGCATGAGTAGCAGTATGGCACGGTCAATTTCTTGTCTGAGGGGGAGTTCTTGGGCATGAAAGAAGGATGTTGAGAGGGCAACTTTAAGACATTCAGCAAGAACATTTGCACGCTCCTGAGGTGTTTGACAGAGTGAACCGTTGATCATCAGGGGGAACGAAGGGAATGTTGGGCGACCTTTAATGCTGTTAAATGTAGCCCAGACTTTTGAATGTGGCGTAGTGGGTGTGAGGCTATCACAAAATTTTGCCCATGATGCTCGCTTTGCTGACAGTATGGTTTTTTGGCTTCTGCTGTAGCCCGCCGGAGATTAACCCAGTTCTGTAGGGAGGGTTGACGTCTTTGTTTTTGTATGGCTCGTCGGCGTAAAGCGACTGTTCGTGCACATTCCGCGTTCCACCACGGTTTAAGTGGTTTTGTTGGACCTATGTCCTGAAGTTTTCTTGAGCATTTGGGTGGCTGCAGAATTTATGGCCGAGGTGATTGTGGACAGTCGCGTGTTTGGGTCTACATCGTCTGTATCTGGGAGACAGATAGTATCAGCCCATTTTTTCTTAAATAGTTTCTTAATGTTCCACTTGGGGAGCGTTAGGGGGTGGGTTGGTGGCTGAAAGTTAGTAAATTTTATAATGAGGGGTTTGTGGTCACTTCCAATATCTGGTGGAGTATGAAACTGAAGTTCTTGTTGAAAGTGTGCAGAGCCAAAGGAGATGTCCAGTGAGGCTTCATAATT